AGTCTCCTCTGGAGGCGTGGGTTCGAATCCCACTTCTGACAACAATGTTTTCGTTTTTTTACTTTTCTTTTTCTTCGAAACGACGAGAACGTGTTGTTGTTGTTGCAAGCGAATGTGTTTCATCTATTTCATAAAAGAGGTGAACGGAAGTTTACTACTATAGTAAAAATACTATTTTCACTTGTACAAATAATACATACGTTCATAAATGATACATAATCGATAGAAAAGTCAGCTCACTCCTTTCAATCGCTAGATGGCGGCGTAATTCATCCCGACTGCTTTTCACATCAGTTAACCAGCGCGAAGTCACGAAGAAATGAAACATGGCGGACTCGGATGGGAGACAGGTTGACAGCATCAACCACTCTACAGGTAACATATGCAGACTGAAACTTTTTAAACGTGAGCTGTTACTGAATTCAACATGTACGTAAGCAGTCGTTTATAGTCGCTAACGGAGAGCCTTACGCCGCTGATCGTCAGTCTGCCATGACACAGCTGACTTGACTTATGCATAGTGGAAATTACATCATGCGGTTTTTGTCATTTTGAACACGTTGAAATCAGACTACATAGACACGGTCGCGATGTTCCCTATTGTTTGCACGTGTAACTGGATGTGTTTGCAAGACGAACTGAATCTCTGTGCAACATTCTGTAGTTTGGTAAAGATCGAATGAGCCAACACGATGAAATAACATTGCAAAGACAGTGTCGACCATTTCTGTCATCAGAGACATTAATTCAAACTTAGACGGACTTCTCAGTAAATGAGTATTTTCTACCACTAGTGTTTATGCAAATAAAGAGCAGTTTTAACTTTGGATACGTTTTAAATATATGTTTACGTGTGTCACAGAGGAAGGTGTAAAGTTGCAAGAAATTGTTCAAGCTAAGGTAGGTCAAGTCTTTATTTAATTTTTATATAATTCCACAATATCCATAGTTTAACTAATTGTATTTTAATGTATAAAATGTGTTTTTGTTTGTTATTTACGAACTATCACAATCACAATGGCTGTCTCTCAAAACCTAGTGCGCTGTCTTACCTGGACAATATTTTGGGCCACATTCTCAGCAGACATGGACGGTGCCTAGTTGCCCAAAATGCAGACTAGGTTTTAAGAGATGGCCTGTTCATTTACATTGACACCGGATTATTTAAAATCATGCAAACTGTGATTCCCCTCTTTTTATCTGTAGTGTGAAGGTAAGGAATTGACCAGAGAAGAAAAGCAGCGTCTTAGGAAAGAGAAGAAGCAGCATAAAAAGAATAAAAAAGATGACAGGGGTCCTCCAGAGAAGGAGAAAGAGAAAGAGAAAGCATCTGTACCAGCTCCATCAAAACCTGCCACACAGAGCCCAGCACATAAAGGTACTGCGTCAAAATAGGTTTCCTGCATCTAAAGTTGATTAAAGCGAATGCAATTTGGATTAAACTTTTAAATTGGGATAATTGGACAAAAAAAAAACATTTATTTGTTTATATTTTATTTCTTTCAGATCGAGACTGGATTGATATTAAGTGTTTCAGAGTTATCTATTCTTATTCTTAGTGTAGAAAGATGTTAACAACAACAAATAAATGTACATACATGTTTTTTTACTGTATGCTTTACTGCCATAATTTGTATTTCTTGGCTTCTGAGGGTGAATAGAGTCTGTTAATGTGTCTTTCAGTGGGTGTGTTTACACTTTGGTTCTCTTGGTTCTGTTGGTCCAGACCAAAAAAAAAAAGTCATACATTTCATTCTGGTTTGCTTACACTGTCGTTTTTAACAACTAAACTAAAGATACAAAAGAAAAGACATAAGGATACGGTGACAACCTGATTGGACAACTTTTGGGACGTATATTTGGAGAACGGAAAATGGTTTGCTGGGCTAAATGCTTGAATTGTATGTGTCTACATATGGTGGTATTTTTACCGGATAGCTCACGAAGAGCTTATGAAATGTGTAATTGAGTCAAAACTATTTTTTGTGTGAAACAAAAAACGAGTTTGTGTGGAAGCGGACAGTTTGCTTGTTTGGTGTGCACCAAGGTTCAGATGGCAGCGTTCACACTTACTCAAATGAACCACACTAACAGAGCGACCACACCACAGTTCATTTTAATGGAACCAAACCTGCCGAGTAAACACAACTGTAAGTTTCAAGTCTGTTATTTGGGTGCATTTTAATTGTTGGACTCTTTGATCTCATTAGCAGCTCCTGTGCCTGTAAATGCATCTGCATCTGAATCTCCTGTGGCTGCAGAGAAGCCTGCAAAGAGCAAAGCAGAGCAGCGAGCAGAGCGTCGGGCAAGGCAAGACACAGAACGGGCATCAAAACAGGGCAAGAAAGAAGGGGGGCAGCTGTCTGCCTCCAGCAAGCCTAAAGCTACCCCCAATGAGCTTCAACCAGGTAATTCACTGCTTCATAAAAGGTTATTCCAGTTTGGGATATTTGGTCCTTCACACACTGGCCCAATTTTGTCAGCCATTCCTATGCTTTTAAATATTTTTTTTCCCTAAGTGATGTTTTATTAACAAGTTTCGGGAGGAGCGCGCA